CTTTGTGCACTAGAGGTATTACAAGCTTGTCAATTATCGTCTTACAATAATGATAATAATCAACAGCTAGATCTTTGCTCCTTGCATACAGCTAGTCTGTGGGCACTTGCTAGAGATAAAGTAAGTTATTCAAACTATCTCTCGTTTTTTTTTTTAAGAATATAAGTGAATAAATATTAGAAGAAACAGTTAGCAATTAAATATTATTATAACTTATTCTAGCTAGGAAATTTAGGAAGATTATGTGGTTTAATGCCTGGAAGTGAACCAACTAGCGAACAATTACATACAGTTGTTTACCTTATAGCTGGTATGGGAGATTCTGAATCACAGGTAGAAGGAAAATTAACTCCTACTGATAAGTTGAAGGAAGCGCTTTCATCGAAAGAAGCGTTCAAAAAACAATATCTTGAACATGCAGAATTAGCTATGGGTACTTACAAACACGTAGGCCGTATTCGATCAGCCAGATTGATAGGGAAAGAATTAGCACAATTTTATAGCGAACTCGCAGAGAATCAGAAAGCTGTTGCATTTTTATCTGATGCTTTGAAAACTTATACCGATGAAGGTTGGAATCATTTAGCAGCACAAACTCAATTGGAATTAGCTCAGTGTTACAAAAGAATGGACGATGTAGAAAAATATACGAAAGTTTGTGCAGCTATTTCTAGTTTGGATGTATTACATATTACTGTCCGTAACACATATTTTGAAGAAATGTTTGGATACATGAAATTGATCTCATTACCCCAACCATTACTTGTAGAACTTAGATGTGCTTTTGTAATACTGAGTATGGAAGTTAAAGTGATGGATAAAGTAGTACAAGATTGTGTGGTTCATATTGAGGTCAGTGTACAAAGTTTATTTCCTAGAGAAGTAAAATGCACTAAAGCGTCTGTATCCGTCGAAGAGATTCAAAAACCTCAATTATCTAACAAAAAGAAAGGTTCAAAATTACCAGTTGAACCATCAATACCACTGTACGTAATATATGTGAAATTTAATATTATTAAAATCATAGAAGAAAGAAGTTAAAATTCTTTTGTACTCTTTGGCAATTAAAAAATCATTATTTTCAGATTATCGAAATGTACTCTAGAAGATATGAAACCATTTGATCCGAGTTTACTTCAGTTACAAGTATATTCTTATTTCGATTACAAAGAAGATAAAAGTCTTGGATCTGCTAGTGTTGTACACAAAAATACTAAACCCGTTGTCAGACGTTCTGATAGCACAAAACATAGGAAACCGTCTGTAAACGCAAAAGGTGATTTTAGTAAAGCCCTGTCGTGTAATGAATTTGTAATGAAACCAGGCGTGAACACCTTTACATTAGTAAGGCACGTTGATCAGCCCGGATTTTACAAAATTGGTCAGCTGTCACTAGTTATCGAGGAAAAATTAGAATTCCTATCACCTATTTTAAATCCCCGATTATGTTACGAAGTAGCTAAAACTCAACCAGTAGTATCTTTGAAATGTGGTAGAGATTTACTGGCTGGCCTTATTCAAGATATAGAGTTAACTATTATGAGTGGAAGTATAAAAATAACAAAAGACATGAAACTTAAATTACGTACGTCCAGAGGATTAACGATACAAGTTGATAATTCAAAGGATGCAATGTCTAAAGAATTAGAAGTATCACTGCCAGTTTGTGAACCATTTCAAACAATACGGCTGAAGTTTAAAGCTCTAGCTGAACTACCACCAAAGAAAGATACTTTATCAATGGAGCATAAGGTACTTTTTTTTTTATATATTGCATAATACTTTAATAAATATATTTCTAATTATTATTTTTTGTTAGCTAAATATACAGTGCCCCTGGGATTCAGAAGAAAGTATACCTTTGCATTTTGGCCCTCCACTTATGTCAAATATGAAACTTCACACAGCAAAACAAAGGAAATTCCTTCAAATAATTGTAACAGGGTTAACGAATCAGCTTCTACAACTGATCGAGCCAGAATTGACAACAATAACATCCATAGATGTTAACTTCAAAAGTTTAAATCCGATTGCGGGCCAGAGATTAGTAATAGGAAATGGAATAAACGTATCATTTATGTGGGAACTTGAAATTGGTAAAGATGAAAAGTCTTTGATACCAATAAAGACTGATTTTCGTGTGAAATATGTACCAATCAATGATACGGAAGAATTGAATGATCTACTTACTGATGATCCTCTACAAACACATCATTTGCAAAGAATGGAAAAATCATGCAGTGTTTATAGATGCAACTTCGATATTACAGATTATGTGGTAAGAGTGTAAATTATTTTTTTTTGTTTGATAGTTATGAACTAGTGAAATAAATTTGATTACTCATGTTATAGCCCATTTGATTAATAATTCATTTCTAATTAAATGTAAAACAAACGTGACCTTATATACGTACCTATAAAATATATTTTAATGACATTTCAGAAAGATAAATTTCTAGTTATAATATCATTTTCCAGACCTTGTTTACAGTATCATCAAAAGTTGAGGCAGCTGGAAATGGGGGTGAATTTTGTCGTGCTGGTAGCATGTGCCATCTTTATCTCACAGTAACACGTATGTTACCCACTCCTAATCCAAATCCTACACCTCAGTTAATGTATGAGGTTCTTGCTGATCAAGCTATGTGGGCTGTATGTGGTCGTACTGCTGGTATTGTGTCTTTAGAAGTTCTAGAAAAACAAAGTGTCACATTGGACGTGATGCCATTAACCAGTGGTTATTTACCTTTGCCTGTTGTTAGATTGTCTCGATATATTCCAGCTCCTGAATCAAAAAGTGGTAAGTCCTTTAATATTAATATTAATTATCGAAGCTACATGTGTAGTTTGTTTTTCACTTAACAGTTATATATGTTTTTAATACCAAAACAATTTTTTACCTTTTATGTGTTCGTGCTTGTAACATTTGTTAATTTTTTAAAGATATGATTCGTAAAAACGAAATAAGTTCTAGTTCAAGACTAGAACCATTCAGTCCTGGCCAAGTTTATAATGCTAGTAAAGCACAGCAAGTTCATGTTCTACCAGCAGCACCTTCAGAAGCAAATTGAACATAAAATTATTGATACTGAAACCGCATAGTATATCTGTGGCATTATCAAATGGAAATTGCATATACCGTAATCAAGATCATTTTTATATTGTTTGATATATTTCTGACATGAAATAATATTATCACTTATTATTTAGTCAGTCATTGCTATATTGATTTACTTTTTTATATTATTAATTGAAGTTTGAATTTTGGACAAGTAGAAATTACACATACATTGTTTCATGTTATACCTTTATATATTAGTTCAAAAATCAAATTTCAATTTCTGTTATTGTTTACTTCTAAAAATAGCAGAATAATTACTAATTTAAGTTTTGCCATTAGAGGTGAAGTAAAAATCTGACAATATGAGCTGTAAGTAAAACTATAAGGTTTCATACCTGAAAAACATGAATATAGTTAAAACAAAATTACGATAACATGTTTTCACTCGCGCAGTAATGTAATTTGTATTTTCATGTAATTATTGAACAATATTCATGTTGTACAGTCTACATATAAAATTTGACCAAAACACATGTTTGATTTAATTTGAAAAGAAGTTATAAAAATTCATCGTTTTATTTTGAACTATGTACTTATAATTCTTCCGTTATGTACATACATATAATGATATAGATGATTTCAGTTGTTTCCTATTTTTCAAATATTTAATTTTCATATAATACATTATGTGTTAAGTTTATGATATAGTGTTCGTGATAATTTCAACTAATTTTAACAGATTGTGTCATTTTACTATTACAGTAATTGAATGTTCAATTCCGCTTGTTAGATACAATGCTGTAAAATTTGTACAAATATTTATTAAGAATATACTCATAACATCGAATAAGAATTAAAAATTGTATAGTTTGTATGTAAACATTACAAAAAAATGATAATTAACATCTATCTGAAGGATAAAAATATTGTATTCTGTATTGAATATTTATAAGAAGATGTAAGTATGTTTAGAAAGATCAAGATAAACGTTATTTAAGTTACTTTTATTTCTTATTTTTGATTAGTCAAGTTATAAATATTGCGAAAAGTATGTTTATATTGCCATGTTAATTAGTAAACCATTTTTCAAGGCAAATACTATAATACTCAATGCTTGATATTTCTGTACTAAGAAAATAACATTCGTAATATAAAATACTTTCAACAGAGGGACAGTTTTCTCATATAATTTATTGATTAACCATTAGTTAAATATTTTTCAAATTATTTCTAATTAGAACAATATTTAAATAACATCAAATAAAATCTACAAATACATGTAAATGTTTGCATATATATATATGTAAATATAATTAACTATATCAAATACTGTATATTGTTACTGTCTATATTAAGTTTGATACAGTATAATGTATTTAATAGAAAAGACATTAAAAATGTCATATATCAAACTGATGTACATGTATATTAAACAGAAGTGTTGTCAAATGTTGGTAAATCTTTTCTTTTCAATAATAATTTCGTCATGTATACTCATTCAGAAAATTTTAATTTTATCAGTAATATAAGAAATTTATAAAACTTTAAGATATGTCTAACATAATGTTAAAGTTAAAAAAATTGAAGTTTGTTTTATGTAATTCTATTATTATAATCTTCAGATAAAATTGTATAATATTTAAACTGGTTAGATAATGTATAATACATTGAAATATGTTTTATTTTTTATATATACATGTTAAAATAAAGTGAATTCTGAATAAAAGAACTTTATCTATATAAATATTCAGTCCATTTTAAATGTAATTGAATTTGAAGTACAATATTAAAGTATGTAGGTGGTTGAATCAAAGTGTGAATGTATTAAGCTAATTAAGAATTCTGTTAGATTATCAGAAGAGGAAGCTGTGGGTGTAAAAGATCTGTGTATCTCAACTGATGAGAAACAAAAAAATACACAGATCTACATATACATTTATACGTTTTATAAGTTTTATAACAGTCTATTTAATTACATTTTTGTACAAAATAATTATATCCAATTAAAAATACAAATGAATATCAATAAGTAGGCAATGGTTGTTGAGTAAGCAGTAAGCCATATCTTCTTTTTAGTGTTATTCTTTCTCTTGAATATTTATCTTCCGGCGAAAATCGAGCTGAAATAAAAATTGTAATTGATTTCATCCTTTAAAAATAAATTATAATATTTTAAAAAATATTTACCTGGATGTGCTGATAGTGTGGGTTTTCCATTGGGATCTATTTTCTGTAAAATAACATTACAACAATAAAGATAAGAAAGAAGAGTTACAAACATTAATTTATATGTGCAAATATAAATAAGGAAATCATAAAATGAAACATTAGTATGATACATAAAAATATATTATATAGGACATAATAAAATGATCCATTGTGTGCTACCTTTAACGTATACACACGATCTCCATTTTCATTGAAATAATACATCAAATACATGTTTGCGTTTTAATTTTTGTCAGTGTTTTTTACAAATATAACATAGGTTATGTGATATTTTCACCACGTGATTAGCTACAGTATCTACAGATAGTAGTATACTATCTATAGTTACTTTTAACTATGAATGAGAGGAATAGAGAATGCTCACGCTCAGGGGTTTACTTGCCCTGATGTACTGGTGCTGCACCACGCGACCAACTGTGGCAAAAGAGCAGAAATCTGTAAAACGACATCCAAATTAGCATATACAGGAACCTCAAATCCTGGTATCGCAGATGTCGGTATAACATAATTGAAATTTACGTTAGTTAATAAACTTATGCACTACTAATAATAATGCGAAAGTGAGATGAAAGTGCATTAAAAGTAATGCAAAAATTAACTAAAAAAAATAGCATAAATAAAATTGAAAAAACAAACCACAAATCTCACAGCCAATTTGCTCGTATTACTTGATACATAATTAATAAATGTACCATAGAAATAATGATACAGTTATTAATTACCCATCAAACAATAACGATTGCCCAGGTCTCACCACGGGGAGGTTGCTGCGGGCGGAGACCCGCCCTACCTCATCCCATCCACCCTCCATTTATGCAAATTTTTATTTTTATTCAATAACATCATCCTCTTGATGCACATTTGCAAAACGTTTTTGACTGTTGTGCAAACGAACAACAAAAGGAGCATTATTTTTATTTACTACCTACCTATCTACTTATCTACACATATATCTGCGTATATTTTTGCTCTTTATTCCTATCGCAACATTTTCTAATTTTGATTTTGATTACAGATCTGTAATTAATAAATATGCAATTGCATATTTGTCCTACATACTTACATTACTAAGAATACCGATCTATACGAGCGCTCGTAATTATATTAAAAATTCGCTTAAATCTAACGCTTCCTAATTAAACACTGCAGTGTTTGACGATTATACTTAATGACCATAAAGTCATTAAGATATAATTATTCTACAAAACCATAAACTTACAACGTGTTTATATAAAAATTTAGAGGGATGTACATAAATAAATACAATGAATTTCTTGATTTTGTCGTCTTCACCAGAATACTTCCTGAAAGAAACTACAAAAGATTAGATACAATTTTCAAAAATAATAAGGCGCATATTACCTTAATACGCGAATAGTTCCTGAAATATATGGAAAAGGATCAGATACAATTTTCAAAAATAATAAGACTCGTATTACCTTAATACCAGTATACTTCTTGAAACAAACTAAAAAGGATTAATTACCAAAATATGTCCTGAGATATTTCTCTGCAACAGAAACTTATTAATTGAATCCATATCAAGACAAAAAGTTTAATAGCTAAAAAGAAGATGCATTAGTACACACAAAATATCACAAAAATCAGAGTCATTGTTAATGACTCATTTCCAATGAAAAGAAGGAACATCAATTCAATTCTTTATTTCAGTACCAAAATAAAGAAAAAAAAAGATTTAGAAAAAGATATCGTCACTCAATAAGTGATTTGATTTAAAAGGATTAATCGTTCATTTGTTAACAAACAAACAGTACACGATATTTTAATTGAAACAATTATCTTTTACTGCAATATATGTACAACCATGACTCTACTTGACTTTATTGTATTATATTATTCAATACACCTTTCAATGCAAATTTATTGTAAATGGAAGAACTGAAAAGAAAATCGCGAGTAGACTTTGCTTTTCAGGAAAAGAATTTGAAAATTTATAATAGTAATTTAATTAGCTTCTCCGTAAGCTTGCAAAGAAATATCGCGATCAAAAATTAAAACTGAACAACTCGAACAACAATTATCTACTACTTTTGTTTAAGTAAAGTAAAATAAAAATTTAATAAGCTATCTCGAATGAACAAATATTCCTTGAAATAAATTATCACCAATCATCAAAAAATAAAATGAATTTCCATTTTAAATAAAATTTTGAATAAAGTTCTCTTTAAAACTTTATCGTATCTAATAATATCCTGAAAACATTAAATTCATATATTATTTAACAGTATTTCCAATAACCGAATGCTCAAAATTTTCAAAATTAAAAATGGGAAGAAAAAAGAATGGGGGCATGGCAGTGGGAGGGAAGGTACAGGGGAACCTGAAAAGAAAAGTTTGACTGCCCATAAGAGCAATCCCTAAGCAAACCCTATAAAACAAACCGAAATCATACGCAACACTAATTTCAAAATTGCAAACATTTCTGAACTATGACAAAACATCGGCTGGCAACGAAGGGTCTCACGCCCCCTAGACTTACGCCAGACGCTACATACCACCCACCCCGCCTGGACGTCGTAACGCCAGGACAGAGTGCACCCCTTCGCTAAGAGCGCTACCCGCCCGTCCAACACGTTGCATCCAACGGTGTCAGATTGACGGACGCCCATAGTATAGACAAAAGGACTACAGTTTAGAATATGGTAACATATTTTCATATGTTCCGTATTCTAAAGCTGCGCCTGCAAAGGCCTAGTAATGCATGGGTATATCTCCCAGAGATGGTGTTCACGGTCTTAGGCCGCGGAATCCTTGACTAGCAATGGATTCCCACCGAATGTGAGTCATAGTTACTTCCACTAATTTAATAACAATCGCGAATTCAGTCGCAACACTAATTTCATTAATTATATAATATGTACAAAAGCGTACGCGTGAAGGCTGCTCCATTATACGCAACACTAAGCTGAAAAAAAGAAAAAAAGAGAAAACGCGAACTGTAACGCAACACTAGTAAAATCTACCGAATTTTGTAAGACGCAACACTAATCTAAAAAAGGGGTACAGCCAATCCAAGGCTGTACCACGGCAGCTGGTCCATAGCTGCCTTATGGACCATGGCAAGTCCACTGGATCGTTTTTGGGCATTTCTAATGCAAAACGCGAATATTCATTACCGCAACACTAATTAGCAGGGAACTCTATAAACTAATGCAAAGCAATCGCGTATTTATAAGTCGCAACACTGGGAAACAATCGCGCTAATGTCTATCGCAACACTATCTTTAACAGACATGCAATTAAAATGCAGAAAAGGGGGATTCTCAAACCGTGAATTATTTTACTCGCAACACTAATTTTATTAATTATATAATATATACAAAAGCGTACGCGTGAAGGCTGCTCCATTATACGCAACACTAAGCTGAAAAAAAGAAAAAAAGAGAAAACGCGAACTGTAACGCAACACTATTCAAATCTACCGAATTTTGTAAGACGCAACACTAATCTAAAAAAGGGGTACAGCCAATCCAAGGCTGTATCATGGCAGCTGGTCCATAGCTGCCTTATGGACCATGGCAACTCCACTGGATCGTTTTTGGGCATTTCATCATATATCGCAACTCTAATGCAAAACGCGAATATTCATTACCGCAACACTAATTAGCAGGGAACTCTATAAACTAATGCAAAGCAATCGCGTATTTATAAGTCGCAACACTGGGAAACAATCGCGCTAATATCATTCGCAACGCTATCTTTAACAGACATGCAATTAAAATGCAAAAAAGGGGGATTCTCAAACCGTGAATTTTTTACTCGCAACACTAAAGCAATCAACATTAAAAAGCAAAACTCTCAAAAATCTTAAAGCAATCAACATTGAAAAGTTAAATTCCATTTTAAAGCAATGCAAGAAAGAAACGCGATATTTAAAGTTCGCAACACTAAATGAAAATCGCGATAATCATGCATACGCAACATTAAATTGAACCGTGATCGATATTCATTCGCAACACTAAATTGAACCGTGGTCAATATTCGCAACACTAAATTAAAAACGCGATTTGCCCAAAATCATGGGGGTCACGGGCCCCCTCTTGTCCTGAAATTACAAAACTACAACTACAGGCAAGCACAGTGACAAAGTAGTAACGATAATGATTTCCCATCCTTTTTTGCAAAAGGATGCAAAATCATTAGTAGTTCCCCTCTTGAAAGACAGTTTGTCGGGGCGCTTCGGCATATAGCCTTTTCTTTCTTCGGGCGGTCCACCCACCTGAAACTTATATCTAAAGCTCGAGACTTGCAAATTCGCAAAACCAAAAAAAAAAACAATCAACAAAAAAGAAGAATCGCGAAACTCTAATTGACACGTGGACGAAAAAGGACTTTATATAAGTCGTTGTTCGTGCACACGTGCCGTGCTCGAGCAGAACTTGTGCGTTTCGTACCATCGCGATCGCGTATGACGACTTATGAAGTCGCCAAAAATTTGAAAAATTGTACAGACAGAATCGAAAGCGGACGGCATACTCCGTTCGTCGATTGTATCGTCAATTCTTCAAATATATTCCAGGTACAGGTTGATCACGCGAAATCGCGCCTACCCGACCAAGAGACTGTGACAACCTGTCCCGGCCCTACCTACTTACAATCTATCACACACACCAGAAGGTATACTACCTACCTACCTAACGCTATATTTAAAAAAGGCAAAATCACATTCTCACAAAAATTCATTCCACGACCCCCATACACTCCACCCGGGCGCAAGAGCCTAAACTAGGGAGAACGTCCCGGGACGCCTCCGTCACCCGAGTTTCATCTCACATCACACTCTACGGTACGTACCATTTTTCACTGAAATCGTCTGGCAAGGCTAGCAATCATTGCGTATAATGATAATTACAAAATTTAATTAACTACTTTGATATAGAATATTTCATAGTAATGGTAATAATCATGGTAATAATAATGATAACAATAGTATTTGGTTTATACATTCATCGTACATCTTGTTGAATAAAATATTATTTCAAATTAAAAGTAAATGAAAAAGTTATTAAACCGACGCAATCCCACAGCCTAAAAACACACACACCATATGTGGAGATTACGTCGTGCACGATATACTAACACAATGCCAGCCGCTTATTAATTATTATTCTTATGAACTAGGTCATCGTGCCCATTGCCTCTACCCATCCAAGTAGCACCTGGGCACGTGAATGGGCTTTGGCAATAAACACGGAAGGGGTTAAATCTGAAAATCCTGATCTACAAACATGATTAGTACATAAACATCTAACGGGCTAATATTTCACTATTTTAATAAAAGTGACTCGACTTTGTAAATATAAA